TTTCTGCTGTGGATTTAAAAGCTTCTTTGGGATCAACACAAATATGACTTTCTATATTGTAGCATGAGCAAACATAAATACATGGTAACTATTTACACACTAACACAGTCAATCATGTCACTGCAGAGGATACACGTTTTGCATTTTGTTCAATAAGTGGGGAATGTGAGAGCAGGCCAAAGACACAGTGATAGTGCAGCAGGTGTTTATAGAGCAAACAGGAACAACATCTGGAAGGGTAGACAGAGGGACATTGAGTGAAGTCAATCCCATATGCAAACAGTGGGAGACAATCATGTGCTAATTAGTGTGCACTGATTGTTGGTTACTTTTAAATCACAACCTTTCACATCAATGTCTGATATGGGAAGAGGAGACTTTGTGCATTGTTCAAGTTGAACTTCAATTGTCTCTGAAATGAGATTTTCTGGATTTGTGTGCTGGTAACAGATTAAGGGATTTTGATTCTAAATCAGTGAAATTAGATTTCTTATAAGAAATGATCAGATTTTCTCATTATTGTTTAAATAAGGAGTCTAAAAGTCTAAAAGGATAAAGTCTAAAAAAGTGGTTGTTTAGCTTTTACTACTTGTCAAGTAAAAAAATGTGAATATGTGCTGAAGAACTATGTTCCTGTGTAAATACAGCCCAATGAGTGTAAGCAATTTTGAGCAACAACGTTCAAAATAAGGATAAATTTGAATAAAATACGACGTGTCCATCCTAACCAGGGTCTGCCTCCAGCTGCAGCAGTACTTACATTGCCACCTCCAGGGACATGTTTGATATTGTCCTTGGAGCCACAGCGAGACGTGACATGGCTGAAGTCCAACTTTTTGTGCACTATCTGAACCTAAAGACAAGCAGGCAGACACACAGACAAGAAAGAAAGAAGGAAAGGAAGAAAGCAAGAGAGATAGAAAGAAAGCAAGAGAGAGAGAAAGAAAGAGAGAGAGAGAGAGAAAGAAAGAAAGTCATGAGCAGCAGGAAAGAGCAGATCAGCTGGCTGCTGAAGTTAACAGAAAACAGAGCAGCCTTGTACTGTAAGTATGGAAGAAATTCTGTGATTCAAATCAAATTGCAATTCCTGCTCATGAGTTCAGTGAAAGCAGTGTCTGTAATTTCACCAGTTCAAAAATAATAAAACAAAACATTGTGGTTTAAAATGAAGGCACAGCTGATGGGACAGAATCATAAAGGAATCAGTGTTGGTTTACCAAAAGAAGAGGATGCTGACTGAATAACAACAGAGCGCTTCCATTTACAGGTTCAACTAAAACTGAAAAAGCACAGGACACTGAAACACTGGAAACAAGACAGAGCACAACGCATGCAAAATAATTGAACACTTGACAGAAAGTGATTTTTGCATTAACACATGCTGTTGTGAACAGAAGCGTCTGCAAGCGACTAATAAAGGGACATAGAGTACATTGAGTACACATCAAAAATGTTTTCCTCAAAGATCATTTCTACCATTTCAGTTAGTATCAGACATGATTTTTAAATTTGGTTTGAATTAGTCATTTAATGCATTATGGATGGGGCAAAACGTCATGATTGACATCTGAGACTGTCTCGTCATGTATCGGCAAGACCTCTCTAGACTCGCAGACACTGGCTGCAAATGACGCATTGTACATCTTTATTTACAATCTATAGTCAAACCTAACACACAGAGTTTAGGAAGGATCAGAAGATGTGGAACTCTTTCACAACTCTATGTCCCATATTCCCACAACCCCTAACTCCCACCCAGCCCTGCAGTCAAAGCCTCTGCAGCAGACCTGAACACCTCCATCCTCTCTGTCTTTTATATTAGTCTCCGTCTATTAGATGAAAGTGGCATGATGACGCAGGGAGCACCAGCAAAGGATGACTCACAAAGCAGTTAGCACTAATATGCTTAATGTGTGAGTGTGCACAATACACACACAGACACACACACACACACAAAATGCAGTAACCAGTATATAGGGCTGAATTCTTCCTCTCTTATTTTTTCCTCTCTAATGGCACAGTACAAACATACAAATTTAATTAAAAACCTGCATTTGGTGCAAGGTAATGGTTTTCATGGCCTTAAATTTCCATTAGATCCATTTTTAATACTAGCGATGGAAAGTTTTATCCAGGAATAATAATTGCAGCTTTCCCGATATTACAACAAGACAAGTAAGCAAAGGTTAAGTGAGACTCAAGGATAGGGTTTCTTTACTGCTTTTCAATGACTGAAAGTTTCCAACAACAGATGACACGGACACACACGGTGTCTCTGGTTAGTTGGTTCTCTGGATGCTGTCTGTGTTTGTCCATGCACACTCTCTTTCACTGTAGTGTGCACACTGTTAAAAACCTGGATGTGCACATACTGCGGTAATGTCATTGTGGTGATATAGGGTTCTGAGTTGCAGAATACACATCTACAACTAACACACAGGAAATGCACAAAAGCTCCTGTTGTCCTTGTCAACACTTAGAATTTAGATGTGTGTATTTTCGGTCTCTTGTACTTGCTTGCTGTTTCGTCCTGTCTTCAAACGATATCAGCTTCATTTGTTACTGTTGCACTTTGGAAGGAGTCATGAGGTCAGTAGTGTCAGTGGTGACTTGCAAAAACACATAGACTGGTGGAAATGGGATGTACAGTCAATACGTCTGTAATACAATGACGTCAATGGCTGCCTCCTCAGTCAATTCTATTTTGTTCGAGGATTAAAAATGGGTCATAAGTGCCCACTGAGGTGGAAAGATGGATACAGAAAAGTAGTTGATGATATTGGTGAAAACCGATGTCTGAATGTAGTTTACAATATATAATGCTCAGTGCATGTAAACGTTAAGATGGTACGAAAATGAAAATGTAAATGAGATGACATTTTTGAGAGATTGTAGAGTTTTGTACAAGGTAGCGCTACAGAGCAGAGAGTTGTAATGTATAATGTATATTCGTAGTTTGTTTAGAGCAAAGTCTTTATGCATTATTTTCAAATAATTAAATTATTTATCAGAAGATAGTGACATGGTAATAATGCTTTCAGTCTGTTTGTTAATAATAATTTACAGAATCCAAACTTCAGTATGATCTGACAGTCCTATTTACATGTGTTTAAATGTGCTGCTAACAGAGAAGAGTAAGGGTGTGGATGTGCAATGAGCTGTGTGGGTGGTGAATGCAGAGAGGAGGTTGGACGCTATGTGTGAGGTGTGAGGGTGTCGATGGTGGGGACTTACTCTGGCCTTGGCAGCAGGGGTGCAGGGGTCTGATGTCTTGTTGTTCTGGGTGGAGGAGACCTGGGGAGACAACCACCCCCTGGTCAATACACCATCTTGCAAACCACATACCACAACACAACGGGGTGGAACAGCAGGTAGAGTGGTGGGGATATGGGGCTGGTAAAACGGTGGGGGATGAGTGTGTGGGGTCTATTACAGCCAATCAAAAGGGGAAGCTCAGTGTATGACAGCATTAAATTATTTTTATCAAAAAGCAGCCAAATGAACCAAGTCCATTAACCAAATGTGTGGGTGTATGAATAACATTAAATAATTGGTAGAAGCACCAATTACATGTGAGATTTAATCATGGGCCGATCAAATGGCAGGATTGATTAACAGATACCTTTACACACGTCCAATATACTGCATGAGATGGATGATGACACCGTTCGATTGGCAGAAAACTGGAGCAGAACTACAGTCAGACCTTTTAAATCCACTGTGTCTGAGGCAAGAGCCAATCAAATATCAGCAGAAAGCGAATGAGCACAAATGCGGTGGGGGTGTATACGTTTATCCTGCTCCACCGGTAAGACCAGGCAGGAGAGGTTTAAGGGAACATGGAGCGATGTGACACACAGGAGATGAGGATTCACTTAAAATTAAAATTAAAGGTTTGATTTTAAACCTGCGCCTCTATGAATCTGTTAAATCGACATATTGAAGCCAAGATGAAGCAGTTCCAGACTTACACGCAGTTATGACTCATGCAGGAGAACACAAATTGAGCTTGTATGCAAATCATGCAGATACATGGACAGATGCATCAGAATGTACAGAAGAATAGAAACCCAAAGGAAAGTGCATTAAAGAAAAAAAAATAGTAGCTGAAACAATAAATTCAGGCCACAATGATGTGCCAAGATTTGACCATTTCTAAAACCCAATTTTTCTTGTCATAGTTCCATGTCTGAATGTTACATATGAATTCAGAAAATACATAAAGTCTTCAAATTACACCCCCTTGAACAACCACACAGCATTTATGCATCAGTCATAATACTCCAGTTATGAGATATTTCATATTTAAACACTCACAGGAGATGACAGATAGACATGTGTTGTATTAGAAAGGAGAACAGGTGATGTTAGTGATCTAAAGTGAGAAACCCTTCCCACAAAGAGGCTGCCACAAACACTGAGGGGACACAAGGGTCAGGAGGCAAGAGGTGGGACACAGTCTATCGCAGAGCTGACATGCTGAGATCATTCACACCTACAGGTAATTTGGAATTGCCAGTTAACCAAACCTGCATGTGTTTGCACTATGGGAGGGAACAAAAGAGCCTGGAATTATGGAGAAGGGATGCAAACAGCAGGTTTGAACCCAGAACCTTCATATGAAATTAAAATTGTGATTGCTACAATCAAACGGCAGGGTTGCTTGATGAAGATCATAACTACATTGACATCTTACTAGGTTATGGTGAAAATGCCTCTTTGTCTCCCGATCTTGTCTCTCTATTCACCTCTAGCCTTTTTCACACCCACATATCAATCTTTAAATAAAACCTTGAATTTTAGTGTTTGGTTTTGGAAAATTATCATCTTAAATTGCTTTATCATAAAATATGAAACAAAGAAATAAATTGAAATGAAATAAAATATACATTTGTTTGTATTGACATTAAATGGAAAACATGTTAAACGACAGCCATTATCTTTTTGTGTTTTATAACAAAGTGGATAATTTTTTTTCTTATTTGGGAGCCACAATAATTGCAAATTGGAGATATGTATCGCATTCAGTGTTGTCCTGCAGATGGTAGCATAAATACTTGGCATCTTAGCTTATAAATTGATTTAATAGAGGATGATAAACTAATGTCAGAGATAACCATTTCTATTGTAAAAAAAACAATTATGATTTCGATCTAGACTCTGTCTTCCCATGATACTGAAAAAACAATCACACCAAAATCACATCACGTCTGGACTGTTGCAATCTCCTATATTTAGTCCTTCCCTGCACGCTTCATTAACTTGCTCACAGAAGGTCCAAAACACAGCTGCAAAAGATGTGTGAGTGATCAACCCTTTCCCGGCCTGTCTTCACTGTCTCCTTGTTCATTTCATTGAACAGCGTCCGGGAGCCAGAATTCAATTTAAGACTCTGCTGATTGCTTTCAAAGCTCCAAATGGTTCATCCCCATCTTATATCAAAGATCTTATTTACTGGGACTCAGCTCCCAGGACTCTTGGATCTGACAAATCTCTCTTGTGTGTCCCACGGTCACGACTAAATTGAAAAGGTGACCAGTTGCTCTTAGGAACTAGACGTGCTCCATCTATCCCTGTTCTAAAATCTAATCTATGGAGTAGACACATTTTTATTCTGTGGCCGTTTTGGTCCTCAAATCTTGTCTATATGTCTCTATTTGTCTTTTGTTGTTTATTCATGTCTATGACATAAAATGACTGACAGGTGTGGCTCCATCTTAAAGTAACTTTTGAAAAAAGTCCTCAAGTTGACTATAATATGGGTTGGTCTATGCTGCTCTCTATTGGACAAAACTGACATGTAATAAACCCATAAATTTTTTTCAGGTTGAGATTTGTTTTTATTGTCACATTGAAAATGTATGTCAATGAAAATAAACTATTTATTCAGTCATTAAAGTCAAAAACTGTGATAACTGTCCTATAAACATGGAAATACCACTCCCATCAGGATAGAAATACTTCATCTGTACCTCCATCCATTTTTAGCTTCTTACTCAAGATTACGGTTCAGACATCACTCTCTTAAGCAACATTTTCAGCACCTCTTAGGGAATCCAGAGATGTTTAAAAGCTAAACGAAATAAACAATTCCTACAGCATGTTCTGGGTCTATCCCAAACACTCAGACCTCGAACCGGTCAGCCGGTGTAGCCCACTTGTCAACAATAAGGCAAAGGATGACTTATTTCCACATCTGTGTACACCACTAAACTCTCAGATGTGCATTTATCTTTGTAATGAGGGATTTATACACATCATCCCAACAATAATATCCCTCTCTAAGCAACTGTCGACAAACTGGTGTTACAGAAAACGTCTCATTATATCCTATATTATTCATATTATTATTATTATTCACAGTCACCCGAGGAAGAGTTGTTCTCCCTTCCATGTTAAATATATATATTTTCCTTGTATATATTATTACAGTAATGGATGAGCATCATGGTCACATTGCCCAAAATCTTCAACCCTGTTCACTAAAGCATTTCCCATTGACCTGAATGCAGATGTGACTTTTCTCATTGTTCCTGTTACACGCACACTAAAGCTCCTGACATCCATGCTGCAACAATGAACCTTCTTCACTTTGATCTTTAGTCTTGCAATCTTATTTTAAAATCAGAGCATGATTGGATGTCAATTGCTACATGGCACCATGGATTCATAATGTTCCTTTATTGGGTTTGTCACCAAACTGTCTGTTGTTACAACCTGTCGGACAGCTGGTGTTGTTATAATGTGTAGTCAGGATTATTTTTCCGATAGCACAATGATCATGAAACACTAATTTGATTTACTTACAATGTTAAAAATCTATAATAATGGTATTCTTAGTAAACCAGTGAGCTAATAGCTATAAAGTCCTAAAGATGTATTGATGATGTACAGCACATAGCAGCTGGTGCCAAATCATTTGCTGATACAAAATAACAATTCTGCAGAATTTCACAGATCTTGTAGATGATGATGCTGAATTATACATAATTCTGAATTTATCATTAATCACTGTCTGGGTTGTCCTACCTTTCCTCCACCGGGCTGGTACTTGATGTTGTCAATGGAGCCAATCTTGGAGCGGACATTCTTCAGGTCCGGCGCATTGAGAGGCCGAGGGGTTCGATTAGCACGGGGCACTGCCGGCTTCTTCTCCATTGGAACCTGCTTGGGAACAGGGGGTTTGGTGATGACCCGACGGCGGTGAGTGGCGTTGTCACCATTGGTGGAGGCAGCCGGAGTAGCAGGAGTGGTGTTGGAGGCTGGGCGAGGACGGGCTACAAAGAAAATTATCAAGTAACGTTACAGGATTAAGTTAGGTGATATTTTTTTTAAATCTGAAAGCTGAACCGTGAAAGTCAGTCACAATAACGTCTATTCCTTTTGGAAAATTTGTATTAGTGTGTAGAGTTCAAAGGGTTTAAAAGTGACAATGTAATTGCATCATATAAAGTAAATAAAAGTAAGTACAAGTCAATTCAAGTAAATCAGACTACTAAAAGGGAAGGAAAGGTCTTACTACTCAGTAGTATTATTACCACTCTGTGTCCAATTTCTGTTAGTTACCTGTAGTCTTGGGTTTCTTGACCTCTCCCGTCTTGCTCTCAGGCTTCTCATTCTTGTTGACTGTGTAGTAAAGAAAGCACACAACCTTAATGACACTCACTTGAAACGCTGATGCTTCCAAAAACATCAGGAGCAGAACTACAGTTTCTGGTGCGTGGACAAGCACCATGTTTGACCTTCAGGCTGTGAAATATGTGTTGCAGAATGAGATATAGTGTTGGTCCACTTTGCTGCCAAATGTTCATTACTTTTACCAAGGCAGTTATGTTTTCCTCTGTTTGTGTACCTGTATGTTTTTTAGTTAGCAGGATAACACAAGAAGCACTGACCATTTATCAGCTACAGAGTCAGATATCTTTCTAAAATGAAACTGAAAAATAGGCTTATGGTCATTGGGGGCCGAACACAACTCTAAGTGAATGCTACAATCTGTGTCTGATACAGGTATCAGACAACTTTTGCTGTGTTAGCCATGGCTTCTTGTGCCCCCCTGTGGCTCAACAATGAATTTATATAATTCTTCATATAAAAGCTTCAGAAATGTGGCCAGTAGGGGCTGATAATCCGTAGAGGGTGAAGATTTCCTGGCTAACAAATTCCTGTAGTTCATATTCTGTGTTCGCTATGTTCCCTGATTGGTCAATTGTATAAGAGATTCAATGGCTTCCAGCAAGAAGTATGTGTTACTTGCTGTCAGAGCAAAAGTAAGTAATTTGACTGTTTATGGAGGTGTGAGAAGAGCATGTCCAAACAGTTGGAAAAATAATGGAGATTGCTCATGCACCTAAAAGGATATATGCACCTTGCAGTTCAAAACACAAATGTGAATTGGACAAATGAATCATATTCTCTGAGGATGTTGAGCACAAAAGCTAAATGCCTGTTTGACTAAGACTTCAGACTGAGTCATAGCTCCCTCACGCAGGGAGGTGAGATACTGTTTGTGATATGATAAAAATACCCGTCTGTTGTCTTCAAAAGCCAGCTCTTGAATCTGATAAAGAGTAACATATGGCAGCAATTCAGTTTGCTTGTTGCCTGGAGTGGTAGCAGGCTGCATCTTTCCAGCTACTGTAGAGAGTTTGGGTCACATTGCATTGGCAACACTATGATCCAGCCAAAGCGGAGTGGAGATACTGTCTGTGACAACAGTGGTCATGTCACGCAGTCAGGCACAGAGGGTGGGCAGTCGCAGGTGTAATAAAGGAGATGTGACACGCTGTGTCGGTGCGTGTGAGTGAGCACGTACCAGCAGCTTTGCTTGCAGGGGTCGCAGAGGAGCCATTCTTATTGGCAGCTGCACGTGGTGTGGTTGTGGCCTTTGGAATAGGTGGGCGATTATCAGCTGTACCATTGTCCGGAGTCTAAGAATCAGAACAGAGCAGAAATTAGCTGTAGGTATGCATTTTCAAGAGTCAATGGCCATGTCTTTATATGTTTATGTCCGCATGTACTAGAGGTTTGTGTGGCCAATCATGCAACCATGACATTAGTTCAGAATGAAAAATAGCAAAGACAAACACGTCACAAAAGCAAGGGAGGATGGAATGACTAAGATCTTAATATTGTAGAGGAAAAACAATATTGGATCTTGTAAATATAGGATGCAAAAGAGATTTATATAAAAATACATCCATTTTATGAGTGGTAACAAAAGGCCCTCCTCAATATATAGCACAGCAGGTTCCAACTCGCATCGTGAACATAATTGTCACTGAAAGTATAACTGAAAATAAGGGTAAGGGTCATCCTTACAATAAGAAGCTGTAACCTATGTTAAATGCGAGTTGAGGTCAACAGATCCAGTTTAAGTTCCATCTTATTTCAACTTGGTGTGTGGCAAAAAGAGGGAGGGTGATCCGTGCTGAATGGTGGAGTCACTGGAAGGTAGGATAGCAGCCATTCAGGACAGTATCTAGGGTATCCTAGATTTAAGGAGGTTAGCTACAGCCTAATACCTTCAGAGACAAGTGCTGAGAAGCCAATTCAATGGAAGGAGTAAGACATAAACAATGAACATTATGATAAGTCCACAGTCAATATGTTCACTCTACCAGTCATCAGATACCCAGCTGGAATAGTAAGCACAGCAAAGTGCTCGTAATGCATGGAGGGTTTGGTTTCACAGAAGGAGGTTGAGGATTAGTGAGGGGCAGATGCAGGATAAAACAAGGCACATCCATGAATATATGAGGAAGCTGGACCCCTGGGATGAACTGGTGAGGGAGCGCCTCAGGCAGCGGAGGACAGACGGCGATGAGGAGGAAACGAAAATATTATGGAAGACTAAGCCACTCTAAGGGATGTATCATTTTCAGATAAAGGAAGTGGCTGACATTAAGAGAGACAAGGCTCTAAGCAGCAGATCCTTAGGGGGTGGGGTCTATAGCAAAACAGACAGGGCCCAAGGTGACGGCTTTGCAAAGACGCCCATGAGACACTCCAGAAAACAGTAGCAGGGTTTAAGCTGGGTCAGTGTACACCAAGAGGCATAAACAAGTTGCTGAGAGGAGAGTGTACAGAAACATCTTATGCTACATCCATCCACTTAGGTATGAAAACGCTGTTTGTAAAACGATCACTGTCCACACAAGCATTTTGGCTCTGTATCAGTTTCAATCCCGGTCCATACTAGCACACCTAATAATGCATGCGTTATGTCATTGTAAACTGAGGACTTGCAGCAGCTGTTAGCAAAGACAACAGGATCAGCAATGCTTGTAATTGATTATTCATGTTTTTTTCTGCACTGGTAACTGAGGCTAATGCCTATTGCTTTCTTCTGGAATGGGGTCATCTGATAGGAGCCAGGCAAATCAGCAAAGTCTACGTCGTGACTTGTGATCAAAAAGACCCTATCAGTATTCTATGTATCTATCTATGTCTTTATCTATCTGTCTATCTATGTCATTGTAGTCAAACATCTCCAGTTCTGCCCATCCACACTAAAATGTGGCCCCCAAGTTTTCAAACTCAAACAGAACCAGCATTGCTTTAGCGGCTCTAAAACTCCAGAGTAGTGTAGACGCCAGGTGTGTCTGTAGCACACCGACAAAAGTTGTAGCAAACCAACCAGTCACAGTGGTGGTTGACAAGGAGCAGAAGAGGGCAGTTTTGATAGATGTGACAAATTCAGTTGAAAGCAGAAAGAACAACTAGAAAAGGTGTAGACATCCAACGTGGTCCCATGCAGTACTAGGGGAACTGGGAGCTGTGGCCCCCAAACTGGGAGAGGAGCTCCAGCAGCTTCCAGGTACAACATCTGAAGTCTGTCCAGAGGACTGCAGTCGTGGTAAGAGTTGCACAGAATCCCCAAACACTCAGGCCTCTTGTAGAAGACCCCTGTCACTCCAACAGGGGAGTGAGATTACTCTCTCTATATCATAATGTACAATCTGTTTATAATAATACTACATGGAGTATACTCACCTTGGCAGATGTAGGCGGCCGCTTGGCAGCACTAGGTGTGGTCGCCTTGGGTACAGGGCTTTTTTTATTAGTAGAGGCTGGGGTGGGGGAGGGGCGTTTGGTCAAGGTGGCCTCGCCATTGGTGGAGAGGGTGGATGGACGGGGTTTGGTGGAGTTTGGTTTGGTTGCACCCATGTCAGGCTGGTGATTATGCAATTGAAAGGAAGCCACAACAACAATAAAAGAAGAGGAGGGAGGGAGCGAAAGGAAAAGTTGGAAAAATAGAGAGGAGATATCCAGTGCGTAGAGAAAGAAAAAGCAGAAGTGAAATCACCGATTGCAATGACAGCATGATATGGCAGCTCAGCCAGCAACCATCTGACAACAGGCCATTAAATTATGCAATTTATGAGCACTTAAAAAAGCTAATGAGCAGTAAAAGGAAGCATTTATGTTTGAAATGTGAAAACATGGCCAGCAGTCTCAAAGTAGAATGAGATGTGGAAATCTGGTCTTGTGCAGTCATACACAAACACCACGAATCAGCAAAAACAGATAGATGTGGATCTAGAAGTTTGGTGATATAAGAAACTCTCAATGGGCTAGTTCTGTTGTGTCCTGCAGCATTTACTCCTCATGTTATTATTCAATAAAAAAGGGCAAAGAACTTGGATATAAATCACAGTTTTAAATGGATTATTTTTCAAAATGCTACAAGACTAAAAAGAATTGAAACTTAATTCTAGAGGGTGTAATATCGAAGAGTCTGATGAATATTAGAAATATTAATAATCCTGCAAAACTATCTTTGTCAGATTGCTTAATGGATTTCAAATGGGGTCCGGTGAAGATTCTCACGACACAATTATCATATTTAAAAGGACTTTACAATAACATCTTCAATATACTTCATTGTGTCTTCTTTCTCTTTTTGGCTGAATATTATAAAAAATACCCACTTGTGGAGTATGAGTGTGTTTGGCTTTGCAGACAATGAGTATTATTTAACATGATGTCAATATTTCATTTCTTAAATATTACTGTTATTGTAAATACTCCTATGATATTTCTCCCAGCCCTAAAAGTGAGTACAATCTCAGTTATGTATTCGTATCATTCCTTATAACTGTGTAAATAACATTCTTCTCTTCTCTTATACTCAGACAGAGATAAGAGATGGAACACACAGTTTATAAGTTACACTCTGGCTGTGGCAGAGTTCAACACTGTGACCTCTGGGTGACACGACTGTTTCTGTGACCACCAGACACCCTGGCTGTGTCCGTATCCGTATGCAGCTATTTTATTTGGACAGCAGTGTGTTTGGGTAATCTGCACGAGTACGTGTGTGTGTGCCCTACCTTGCTCTTGCTGTCTGAGCTTGGCAGGGTCTTGCTGCCGTTGCTATTTGGGGACTTGACTGTGCCCTTCCCTCCCTTCTCCTCCTTCTTCTCAGCCAGCTTCTTCTCCTCTTCCTTCTTCTCGTCTTTGTTGGTCTTCTCTGGCTTGTCCACCTTCTCTGCCTTCTCGTTGGCCTTGTTCTTCTCCACATTCATCTTCTCTGTCTTTTCCTCGTCTTTTAGAATCTTCTCAGACTTCTGGTTCTTGTCCGGCCCATTGTCTTTCTTCTGCTGCTCCTCTTTCTCTTTCTTGTCGAAAGCTTCGGTCTTCTCTGTCTTAGTGGCCATGATGTCCATCTTCGGCTGCTTGTCCTTGTTGTCAGATTTCACTGTGAGGGAGAGAATGTCATTGTCACTGTTATTCTTTCATCACCATTAAAAGTAGTAAAAGAAGAAGAAAGTGTAACTTGATTGTAGCACATTGTACAGCTGTCACTGTACATCAATATTTGTGATTGATATTGATATTGAAACTGAGAGTCACTGGAGTGTGTGTGATAAACCAATAAGGATAATCATATATTTTAGTTACTGACACAGTTGATGAGAGATATATAGAGCACACCTTTACCATTTCTATCAATGGAAGTCTTTTAATGGTTTAATTCATGCAAAGTAATTTATTCCAAGCAGATTAAGCCACAATGGAAAAGATATAGGGCAATTCAAATCTATAAAAACTCACTCTATCACTCTCTTTATTGATCATGGTCCCTTTTTACTTTTGTCACTTTTGTAGGTACTAAATGTTTTTTCCAGTTAGTGGAAATTTCAACTGCAGTTTTGTTATTTATAGATTTGATTTGATAAAAATGGAAATTATCATGAAATGGACAATGTTGTAGCGGTTCTAAAGAGAGCCGTGGGACATTTTGACGATGATCTGTCTACTCTGCTTCTGATTTGCAAGAATACTATTTGGTTGATTGTGTTTGTCAGGTTTAGGCACGAGAATTGATGATTGGTCAGGGAAGGTAAGAATATCAGGGTAAACCAATCAGAGGCAGAGTAGGGAGGACTATCACCTGCTGCTTACCTGCACTGTTGGTTTAATTCAATTATAATACAATTATTTATTTTTAATTTTATTAATGATATCAATTAGACACATGGAGTTCATCATAAAATAATTGTATAACTTCTCCATGCACCGCAACAAAACCACTTCTTCATGAAACATATCTTTTAGCTGAAGCAGAATTTCTCTGCACACAAGATAAATTCTGAACATCAGGATTTCCCCTCAAAACATAAGAGTTAATGTTTGTACATTGACAGTTCTTGTGACTCCAGTTAATGAAGGCCCGCACAGAACATTACAGAAGATCCTTTAGTGTTCTCTGTTCACATGCAGGAAACAGTGGCTCCTCTTTGGCTCTTACAGATCATTGACAAGCTCAATGAGATTCTTGAAGCAGACACCGAAGGAACAAGAAGACCAGTCTGTCACACCTCAGCCAAGCTCCTGTTTCTCTCCAGGGTAGCACCTGACACCATTCAACCTAAGTTTGTTTCAGCTCTTTTTATTAAAGAGCAGGACAATGACCATGGAGCTGCCATGATGCATGTCAGGCAGCTCACTGATGCTGGCTGCATACGTCTGATATGAACTGGTTGCTACCGTGCAGATGACCGTTTCCTGTCATTGAACGCAATCACACTGCAGATCTACATTAGCAGAGCAGTGCTCATTTACTTTGGTCTATTTTTCATCATTTTAAATGGGCATGTCAACAAACAATAACTTTTAATGCAATGAAGACTCTGTAATGAAGTAATTTCCGCTGAGCTTATTAAATACAAGTAGCTATCCCACAGCAGCTATATGAGTATCTCCTGTGATGTCTGACATTGACACAGGTTAGGTCAGGGGTTAACAATAAATATCAGTTCAGTGGGCCTCGTGCAACAATCAGTGGTACTAAAAGGTCTGTTCTTAAGTTTTGTGTATGAGTGATTTTTTAAGAACTTGCTGCATTTTGAGTTTTCTTACAACTGGTCCAGACCTGTTGTAGGAGTCCCATGAAATTAGATTTTTTCACTGATGGATTCTATATTTCATTGCTGAAATATAAATAAATACATAAATTACACATAATAATTATGTTGACATTTTTCTGTTTAACTCGGCAACAGATTGCTGTCGTACGATGGTGAGTGAACAAATCCTTTGTGCTGCAAAATAATTGGCAAGCATCATGCTAGAGATGCAAAGCAAGCAATTTTCACATCATTTAACTAAAATTCTAAACTTATCTCGGGGATTGATGTTTGGCTCAAACTCCCAGGCTCATGACACCATGTCAGACCTCACACAGCAAGCGTCATATTTGTGCTGTAAAGACCGGGTGAATGAGCCTTGACACAGGTGGTGGCAAGACATAACATGTCAGATTTTGTAATATTGCAGTGGTTGAAGGTGAAGACTACAGATCCAGCACCAACTGAAAACATGTTAGTAAGACTATATATATTTTTTCATCCATATTAGTGAGAGATACTTCTCCTGTTGTAGTTTTAAAGCTGTTCTCACGTGTAATGAGTGTTTCTTTATGTCTGTGACTATGACGCAGCATTAACAGCGATGCTGTAGTCGGTCTCTTGATTTCACTGACGCTGCTAAAGAATCTAGACTTTCCTCCCTGACATCGGACCATGATTGGAATAATCTTCCATCACTCATCAGCTCTGCCCTCTGCTGTGAGAGCATATTTCTCTTGTCTAAACAGTAAAAATAAACCCCTTAAAACAGACTTGATTTGCTGCAGCTGCTGCACGGGGCTTCACAGTGGCACATACTTGTTTCATGAATTTTAATGTCCTTGATTCCGAGATTCTGTCTGATTTTCTGTCTGACATATTAAATATGCATCAGTATTATATATTTTAATTTGCACAGCAGGAAAAGAACCGCTAAAACGTTATACTCCAGACAAATAAACAAGGACAAAAATCAACAAACTTGCTCGGTAATTCCTTAAATGACAAAGAAAATGCCTGTCATGTTATATTTGTTATATTTTGAGAATCCTCTCATCTTAGCATGTAAAAACAGAAATCAATCCTTTGAGTTCGTGGTCTCTAACCAGAAGATCGGCGGTTTCGATCCGAGTCTTCCACCACCTCACCTAGACACCATAGAATCAACCAATCATCTACCTCCATAACTATCCTGCTCTATTTATACTATTACTATATTTATACTTGACTCATTCAATGAGACACTTTGCCAGATTGTTCATTCACCTTAATTGGTAAAAATCAGCTAAATCGTTGTCCGCTCTAGTTTCAGAACACACTATTTGTTTTCCTCACACATTTACAAATACCTGTTTGCTGAGCCTGCATCCCTTAACAACAACCTGCTCTGAAACTGGAAACACTGGGGCTTTGCTCAGCTGCCTGTCTGTCTCCTAGAAACCAAACTCCAGCACATCACTCGACCTACAACCATCACCTGCTAATGTCACGTAATCAAAAGTTGTACAATAAACCTACTCCTGCCTCCACAAAGCATTTTAAAAACATAACATCTATAACATCTTAAGCATTTTGGAATTGAAAGTGTTTTCAGACAATGGTTGAAACTGAAGAATATCCATTTTTATTCCATACACTCTTCTTCCTTGTCAAAGCCCCATGCAACTCAACTGCTGACAGCTTGGTGGGAGCACAGAGGGCTTTATACAACCTGTTCCTCATACACAGTCGTACTCTCCAACAACAGTAAACAGACGTTTGTTTGCCAAATCGGTGGGGTCCTTTGTGTGTCATCAGATTCAAGGAACTGTATTTAAAAAACCTGTGTAATGGATAATGTGAAGGGAGCATGTTTGAGCCAGGACTGAGTGAGCTGGAAGCAAAACAGAGGCTGCACAACCTGGATATGTCATCTTATGTTCCTGCAGGCAGTAAAACTGTTACCATCAGATTTAATTGAAAAATGCTGTAACTATAAATAAAACTGTTTAATATTATATGATTGTACCATTTTAGACCAAATCGATAAGTTTATTGCACAAGTTACTTTGCATCACCGTGTCACTCCGCCCTGCAAGACCACCAATATGACTCATCCAAAATAAATCTGCTGGCTGAGAGCACAGATGATCCTTTTAATACCACGCTGCAATACATGTTGCTGGCAGCCAGCTGTGTGTGCTGCTGGTATGAAAGAGAGAGAGAGAGAGAGAGAGAGTGTGTGTGTGTGAGAGAGAGAGAGAGASAGAGTGTGTGTGTGTGTGTGTGTGWGAGAGAGAGAGAGAGACAGAGAGAGAAACAGAAAAAAGAGTTGACTGCCATGTAAATCAGAGCATGACCAACATGGACATATAGCTGGTGCAAGGTTTGTTTTGCTGCAGAGTTTAACTGTTGTATTAATCACTATATAATTATAAAAGCCTACATGCAGACACAGGAATGGCACCAACACCACCTCTGACATCACTCATTTTTAATTAAAATGAAAATTGCATCTGTGTAATGAAAAACTATCTTCATATATAACCACCTCCTATAGAGTTAGCCCTCCAGGCGTACTGGTTTAACCAGGCAAGACATTGGAGAGAGGTGGACGGACAATCAGCAGCACTCCATCACCTAGACCATTATGGCACAGTGACCGCTCTGTATTGTTGAATTGAATCAAACTTCAAGCTCTATGTGTTAGCTCATCACCTGGCTAACATCCCTATGGTGGAGCATGGTGGTGGCAGCACCAGGCTGCGTGGGTGCCTCTCTGCAGCAGGGGCAGGGAGACTGGTCCGAACTAAGTGGAGGATGAATGCAGTTAAATACAGAGAAGTGAAGTAGTGTGCACCAGATTTCCTGCAACCTGAGACAAGGGCACATTTCAGCCTTTCAGCATGACATTGACCCGCAGCAAACAGCCATGACAAACCTGGGGTGGCTTTGGGATAAGCCTATGGTTCTTGAGTGGCTCAGCCAAAGAGTGGAAGGGAATAACCCAATCAAATCGAGCAAAGCTAGAAGATGAGACTAGAAACACTCTTGCTGCCGAAAAAAAGCACTAAATTATCGGTCTGAATCATAGACTGTATATAAAAATATGAAAATGTTGGAAAAAGAGGGGCAGTTTCAAAATGCTGCATGAAGTAAAGAGAGATTCATCCCATTGTGTCTGTAATTATTCAGAGAATTAGCAACTCTACACTGAAGAATAATTCCTTCAACAAACCTTTCAAGGAACTGTTGTATATTAAGTAGCTCGATGTGTTCATGTATGCCTTGGTGCCAACTAGTTCACACAGGCACCGTTGTTAAAGTCAGTGAAGGACCGATACTAGAGTGTGTTACAGAAACTCAACAA